AAACATATTTTAGCTCTTTTAATCTTTCTTTAAAATTCAGCCTGCCTACACCTAAGACAGTTTTTCTTGGACTCTCTCTGATATCTGTCTGATGATGTGATGACCAAAATATATTGCAGAGGTCCCTTTTCTCAACAGCTAGTTATATGCAGAGATTATTAATTTCTAGCTGCAGTGCATGAATGTGGTACAGATGAAAATTCCTTTGGACTTTCAAGTAGTCAAATCACATCTCAAGTCTCATTTGCATTCTTCTAGTCCCTCAACCCTTTTGCCAGTACTGTTTTACATTTTTCTTTCATCTATTTAATTATGTATGTGTTGGAACTATGAAAAATACTAACCGCTCATAATTTCCAACTGAATCTTAGTATCTATGTTTATAATGTACTTTTTTTTTTTTATAATCAACATATCTTTTATATGATAGGTGGTACTTAATTGTCCCAAGTTAGCATAGTTGAAAACATACTTTCTCTTAAAAATGATGCATCTTTTTATCCCACCACATAAGGAATTTTCTAACATCTAAAGTGCTTCATTCCAGTGCTTGCTTGGGTTTATCATATGGTTGTTGGAGTAATAAGATGCTTTCTAAATTGGGATTGGCAGCCAAGTCATTCAGTGTATAGAGAGAAAATCTGCGATTTGGGTTTTCTTAGAGTCACCATCTGGGTTTGCTTTAGCTACAGTTTTACAATAGAAATGGGAATACAGACAAGACCATTTATACTGATGAATGGCATGAATGATGTGGAACAACCCAGAAACAAAGATGAAAAGTACTGGAATGTCCCCCTTTCATTTTTCTTTTCTTCTTTTAGAAGACTGGTTTTAATTACTGTTCCTTATTTGTTGAACAGTAAAACAAAAGAGAAAAAGAGTATTTAAATGTTAAATGTGTTATTGTTCACTGAATTGGTTAATTTGTTTTATTCTTCATGCCAATTTCAGTTGAATGTGCTTTCAAATGATTTTCTGCATGTGTGCTAGTAAAGCAGGAGCAAGTTTGGTCTGAGTGCCTTTAGCTTAATGGCTTCTCTACATGTATGGTCCAAGCTTCCCTTCTCTTCTTTGAAAACAGTGACAATGTTTGTAGGCAGCACTTTTTCTTCACTTTTTCTTTAGCTTAGTAAAAGCTCTTCTCATGCTCACCGTTTTGTCAAGAATGTACCCCACAGTCCACAAGGCCATTTCTGCTGGGAAGAAGAAATTTTTTCTACATTGTTAGGACCAAAGGACACTGCCCAAGTCACAGGTTCTACAGCCTTCTGTGCATACTGCCACCTCCCACCCCTTCTTAGCGTGACCTGTTATCACACATCCCATAGCAGCAGCAGGACAGCTGTCTGGATCATTTATTCATGGTATAACAGTCTGAAGCAACTGAATTTGACTACTTGATGGCTCAGAGTTGCTATTATCTTCAGAAGGATGATCTGCTGTCACTTATGAATTCAGCACCCCTCCCACAGGCACTTTGCTATCTTCTGTGCTGCAGGCGGAGTAGACAGTCTCCCTCAGAGCTTTCTCGTGAGCCACAGACCATTCACAATTTAGCCAGAATGAATGCGAATTATTATACGTGCTCCTTAAGAGGGAAGTGTGTTTTTGTGAACACTCCAGGTGAGAGTCCTCCAGATTTGGCTCCAATTATTTTATAAATCAAATATTTCCACTCTGTCTTCTCTATCCTACTTGATGTACAAATACAGCTATTGTTGGGAAGACTGAAACAATGTTAGTAAATATACATCCTTCACACTCATTCCTACTCAGTAATACAACATTGAACATAGTCCTCTGCTGAGCGGTGTTTGCAGGAAGTTACATTATACAAAGTCTCTGCTTTGACAATGACTATGAGCTATTTCTCAGATTCCTGATACTGAGTTCTCCCAGGAGACCAATTCAGGTGCTTCTAAAATATATTGCTGCTGTGTTCAGAGTCAACAAGTAAGGCTGTGCCAGTACATCCTAACTTTTCCAGGAGAGAGCTGCCTCCTGGGATTAGTGCACTGACCGTGGCCTGTTTCACAGGAAATCTAGGAATTTAAACAAACCAATCTCAGTTGTTTCAGACTGCTAGACCATGACTAGAAGATCTAGACAGCTGTCCTAATAACAGCATTTCAACAACAGTCCTCTTTGAGTCAGTCTAACAAAAAATGTCAGGCTTTATGTTCCAGATACCTAGGTCTGACTCTGGAAAGTTACTGATTTTTCAGACTGACAACTCTTTTCTCATTTCTTCTTTTCTTGAAGGTGTTTCTTTTGTTTGTTTATTTTTTGTTTGTTTGTTTTCCCGCTGAAGGAAAAGACAGAATTCAGGTCTTAGGAAAAGTTTTGCTGTGCTCATTACAGAAAATCTCACAGTGAATGCCAGACTATATAAAAAAAAATGTTTTTGGACCATAAAAGGAAACTTCACTTCTTTTAGGGTCTTCCGAAAATTAGAACTTCCTTTGAGATTCCTCAACAGTTCCCATTTAAAAACTAGCCAGACCAAGTCCAATTCACTCTTTTGCTAAGCATTACAAATTTACTAAAGAAAGAGGAAACAATTCTATGTCCAGAAGAGGTATGTATGAGAGGATCTTCTGACAGAATTTTTTTCATGAGTACTGCACATAGATAGACTGTGAAAGGAAGGAGAAAGGACATTTGCCTTTTTTTTCTTAGAGAATATATATTTTATCCAACGCATACCCAATACTTCTATTTCTGTTCCATATCTAGTCTAATTTCGGGACTGAAATAACTGTCCCGTCCCTATTTTTACCGTATGTGCCTTCTTTACCATAAAGAGAAAGAAAGAAGGCATGTCTTCAAACATAATGCCAAAGTAATAAATAAATAAATTCATAAAAAATACCAACAGTTTTGGCATAATAATATCCACAGTTTGAACGCAAATGAAGACAATGAATTTTGAAGAACTATTACAACCAATACAATCTATTTTTATTACACTATTCTATTCCCACTGATCTCGCTTCCTCTGAAGCCAAAAGAATTCTGGCATTAGTTTCATGAGGAATAGTGCCAGTCTTGCAAAGCCTGTTTGGAACTTTGATCCTGCTGATGCTGTGTTTAGGAGTAGGCATATTGAGTTTATGCATGAAGTTAACCACCTGTGTGAATGCTTGCAGATAGATTAGTAGATTCTGGTCTTACAAGTATCTATAATTAAATTCAACTTTGGAAACAACAGTGTGAAGGATCTTGCACTTTGAACTTGGTCCTGCATTTTCTTCATTGACTTATATTGTTGGTGTGTAGGATATTTAGATAGAGCTGATCTTCCATGGGCTGAAGATAAGTTACTTTCTCATGCTTTGATAGGACATTTGTGTGTGGCTGAGTATTTAATATCTATTAAAAATGAAAAGTATGAACAATTAATTTTACTGTTTTTGAAAGAGTATCTCATGTTTCTAAGAAATGGCATATATATTTTTCATATTTTTTATGTCAACTAAATTTTGAATGAGATTGAAATTGCAAATGTGGGTAGAAAATGTGCCTGCTCTGCTGTGTAAAAGGATGTATTCAGATTTTAGCAAATCATAGGTGAGGCTCTTCAAATAAAGCAGTGAACTGATAGTGATAACTGTCAATTGAAGAAAACTATTTCATCTACAGACAGGATTAGAAAATCCTGTCAAAATTATAAGAATATAATTTTGATGAAATTAAGTCATATGCTCTATTGTGATTTTTTTTATTATTTAAGTCTCCTTTTGCTATTAGCATTCATGAGTCTCATTCTAAGGGAATGTGCAATTTACCTTTTTGTAACATTGCTTCCTTCTGTAGAAATAAGCTTGATGTTTAACATTACATTACAAATACATTCTTTCCATAATCTATACTTATCAGAGAAGGAAATACTATCTTTTGCTTTTAGTCTCACTGCTCTACATGCAATGTGGTGCCATAGGTATTCCTCTGGACTTTATGAACTTCTAAATGTAACTGTTGCGAGTGCTACTTTTGTTTATTGCCTACCGCTCAGAAACGTGGTTCTCATTTTCATCATGCCTGGTTTTTGAGAAACACAGTCTAGGTATGAAGAGAGCAGCAATGAAAAGGAAATTAGTTGCTAGCGGCACTGCATCAGAAGAATTATTCTGTTACGACTATAAACAGTGGCATCAAATGAGAAAATAGACTTTCAAATTAATTAGCATTTAAAGGAAATGGTTTTGGAATAATTATCAGATTGCTTTTAAGTGGCTACATTTACAGGCACATCTCTTCTTTCTAATATGTCCTTGGTAGCGATGAATAACAAATGCATACATGTTTTGAGTTTTGATTTTGTCCTGTGTTCATCCTTTTTTGAGAAAGAATAAAAAAAACGAATAATGTTGCCCTGTTTCTCTCAACTCCAGTGCAAGTCAGACTTGTTCGTTCCTCCCAAAAGCAAAGAGCCTTTTAATGCTATTGTATAGGTAAGGGTAATAAGCCTACTGAGGTCTTCTGTACTATGACTGTTCCAATATTCTTTTGGTAAAGGACCTCTAAGTAAGTAGACTGCACTAACAGTCAGTCTACAAGGACACCTCTCTGTCTGCCCATTATGGCTATTGTAGCTATGAATATACCAGATCTGAGTCACTATTCATCACTAAACAAGCACTGTTTCACAACTTTTCTTTTTTTCCCTGTGAGCTTTTCTAGTGCTTTACAAAGTAACAGGCATAAGTGATCGCGTCAACAAAAGCTGTGCATTAACTTCTTGGGAGCCCATTTTCAAATAATCTATACAGGAGAAGTTGTAAGTCTTTTATTATATACTTATTTTTCCCCTTGAATACTCCAACTCTGTAATGAATAAGCAAGCAAACAAATCATAGCTTATTGCATTCTTCCTGCAAAGATGGCAATAGTTAGGAAGAGAAAAATAACAGCTCCAGCTAGCTAGACTGCTGTTATGATAAATGTGTAATCACTGTACATTTGCATCTACTCTGTTTAATATTTTTCGTATACAGATACTTCATCGATTGGAAGAATGATGTGGACAACTACTTTACAATAGATGCTAATGAAGGAACCATTGCTACTAATGAATTACTGGACAGAGAAAGCACAGCACAGTACAATTTCTCTATAATTGCAAGTAAAGTTAGTAAGTATGACACAAACTGAATTAATATGCTAATGTGTTTGGTTTTTTTCAGAATGTAGTGCTTGAGCATAAATATACTGTGGAGAGTGCATATATTACCAAGAAATGATTTAGAAATGCCCAATAAATATCATTTTCCCAGATTGACTATAAGGCTGCATGACATACAAATAGGCCTGTACAGTAATGGTTTTCTAGTAGTCCTCATGCAAGAACAATTCCTGCAGAAGCTGAAAAAACTTGTCAACAAGAATGCTTGAAATCAGAAGAGAATGTATAGAGACCTTCCTCTGCATGTACACATTCATTTAATTCTCAGACAAGAATTACAGTGAAATAGAGTCATGATAGCATGCTAATAATTTAGAGCACTAAATGAATCAACTTATGTGCTGTCTCTTTGATTTTGAATTTTCTCTCTGCCCAAGACTCTTTCTTCTTAACCACTTGTTTTCTATTACTGTATTGTTGGTTTTGTTTGCTTTATTCCTTTATGCCTTCTCCCACAAAGCTTTTATTTGCAGATAAGAGTTCCCTTCTTCTCATGTATTAAGTAGCTCCAACTTTCTTCACTGTCATCCTGTGTAGCATTTGTAGCATTCTTCCTTCATGATCCTGCCAAACTGAAAGTCTGGTAGGCGTAAACCACTATTCGAATGAGAATTTTGGTCTTCTAGAAGATGTGTAAAGACACAGAAGTCTTTCTTGGCACATAGTAAGCTGTACAAAAGTATGTCTAGTATATTTCCTATTTGTTCTGTATTGTTTGTGTGTCCAGAAAAACAAATAACTTGTATTCCTCAATATATTTCTTGGCACTGAGATGTCACTTACAAATGCTTATAAATGTCTACACTCACCTAATATAATAACTCACTTAATATAAATATCAGCATTTACACATTTCTGAAGAGCAGATTCAAGAGAATGAAACCAGGCTCCTTTTGCTGGTGCCCAGTAACAGGACAAGCTGTAATAGGCACAAAGTGGAACAGGGGAAGTTCCATCTGAACACGAGAAAGAACTTCTTTGCATTGAGCTAAAAATAGAGCACTGGAACAGGCTGCCTAGAAAGACTCTGGAAATATTCATGACCCACCTGGATGCTTTCCTGTCTAACCTGTTGTAGGGAACCTGCTTTAGCAGAGGGGTTGGATTCAGTGATCTCCAGAGGTCCCTTCAAACCCCTATGACTCTGTGATTCTGTGATTCAATATGTAATACATTCTATTAACGATTCTATTAACTATTATATATAGTTAATATATATATATATGTAGTTAATATAGAATATATTACTATTCTATTAACAAGACGGAGATATTGGAAGCAAAGAAAGCATATATTAAAATAAAAATAGCTGTAGTTATCTCAAGGAGAGCTCATGGGATCACTACCTGAAGTCTGGAAAACTAACAGGGACACTAGCCAAATAAACACTTGAATTTTATCCTTGACTTGAGATAGGAATAGACTAGCAGAAGAAACTAAACTTTCACAAGTGATTGATTATATGGACTATAAGTAGTTGCGTATACTGAAAGTCCAGAAGAACTGTACTTCATTTTCAGAGAAACTGAAAGGCTGTAGTGAAGAAGTCTTGTAATACTCTACATTTCAGTAACGCTTAATTATTTCTGGTGGATAAGGATCTCCTGAGAACTGTAAAATCTTTCTGCAATAAGGTTGCACTTTTAATAAACTTAATAGGAATCTGTTTATTATTACCTAGAGTAATTAAAGCTAGCTAAAATCTCCAAGTTTACATTTCTACATAATGTTATGCAACACTGAAGCAGGCAGTCTATGTTATGAAATTCCCAATTTCAACACCTAGTTAAGATTCTACACCTGAGACATACGTGCGATTCATTTTAGCGTACATCAAAATATTTATAAAGCATTATCCATAGCAATACAAATAATTGCTGTACCTGTACTAGAGCAATATTGGATCATTTTGGAAGATTTTATGTATATTATCTCAGAACTTTATATGCAGGTGTATAAGAAATTACACAGAAATAAACACCGAGTTTGAGAAATAGCGAAGAAGGCCAAAGAGAAGAGTAGGAACGCATGAAATGAAAGAGGGAAAAAAATAATATCTTGGGGAATTTTCTGCTACAATAAAGATGTGACCCATTTAGTGCTTATATAGAAACAGTGCAATAATCATCTCTTGTAGTAACAGGATGCTGAACAGCGCTTTGACATAGATCTGATTGCCAAGTGGTCCAATATTGCAAATGGCTGCACAAACTTGCCCCAGGACTTTAATTCTTATCTAAATATTTTCAACTCTTGTTGAGCACATATATTTAAAATAAAGAGATTTCAAACTACTAATAGCCATTTCAATTTCTGTTAATCATTTACTAAAATACTTATTTTTCATTCTCAACACTTTTTTTTTTTTTTTCCATGAAGGAACAAGAAAAAACTTACAGATACCTCCAGTGCCCTTAGCCATGGGGTTTTCTAGTGGTTGCCCCCACTGGGCTTCTGTAGCTTCAGAATGAAACTCTGTAAGAATCACAGATTATATTTGTGTCAACTTTTTTTTTGTACAGTGTAGTAGTATTACAACTTCTAAGCAAAGAAATTAACTTTCAAACAAAGGCAAGCAGTTTAGATAGCTAAATATAGCAGCAGAGAATATATAAATGTAAATGCAGAATTGGATGTATCATTTAGACTTTTCTTACAAACTGATAATATTTTTTATTAGCAAAAAAAAAAAAAAGACATATTTTTTAAAGGAATATATTTCAGAAATGAGATAGATGAGAATTGCCTTATGTAAGTCAGTGTATCCTCTGTTGGTATGAGCTGTTACAGAGAAAAATAATTTTTTTTAAAAAAAGTTTTTCTGTTTGGGAATCTGTAAATGGTTTTATGTCCAATGTCCTCTTTCTGCTTTATTTATTTACTTTTTTTTTCTTTTTTTTGACACAGATATACTGCAACTATTCGTCCCTAAACTGGTCTTTTCATTCCTACTTATACCAAATGTGGTGTGGATTGGCAGCTTAACCAGAGGCCAAATTTTGTCCCTTAGCAACAAGTTGATAATGAAATTTGCTTGTTATAGGCCTGCTTGTGTCAGTTTGTGGATGTGAGAAATCCTAATTACCCTGAAAAAACATCATAAATTTTGCATATGGACAAAAGTATCTGGCTCCATATAGGGAAATCAGATATTGGAAGTTATTCTAGCCATGTTATTGAGTGACCAGCTCTAACCACGTATCACTATATTGTTGTTTATTTTTTATTTCTAACCTGAAAAACTGACATATATCTGTTCCAAACACAATCTGTAAATCTGTCTTCAAATATCAGAACAACTACTCAGTGTGGAGTGATGGATGCCTACTGTTATATTTAGCACAAGACACCATAACCTTCTTCTTTACCCTTGTTAAAGAAGCTCATCTTGAAGTAGAAATATTCATTTTTGGAAAGCAGATGACTCTTCTGCTAACATGCAGATGACACAGACATGAAGGCAGGAGAATGCAAAAGGTCTTTTACCCATCTGTTGAAATAAAAAATCAGCCTCCATGTAGAACAAATACATGAACAGTAAGGGGATGTTTCAAACCCCTATTTTTTTCCCATTTCGTTTACCAGTTTCTCCTTACTTGAACTTCTTTTCTCTACTTTTCATTTTGGTTTTGTTTTTCTCCTAACGGTTTCTTCTCGTAGCTTCCATGCTTCCTGCTTTTGAACATTTTTGATTCCACAAACTCTGTCCAGAGTAATAAATTATACTTGTCTTGCATTTTTTCTTGTCACTTAGGCCAGCTGGCAGTGAGTAGTTTACTTCCACGCCACTGAACACTCTGGTCTTCCAAACAGGGTGGCAATGTGTAAATGGATTTGCTGAGTTGTCCTTCATTCATACTAACTCTCACTACGTGAAAGTGGATTACCTGAAAGACCACTAGTTTCCCCAGGCCAGAACTGTGCCAAGAAGTTGTTGTATAGTATAAATAATCAGAGTTCAATGCTCAGAAAGATCCACAGTGTCATGCTAAATTACCAAGAACGAAAATAGTGTCTGTACTTGACAGAAGAAGAAATAGGTTAAGTTGTGTAACATCTTATTCCTGTAGAAATAATGCTAAAGAAATATGATCTTAAATTTCAATACGATGTTTATCCTTTCCTGCATAACATAGCTGGGATTGAGATCTCCTCAGTGGTCAGCATCTGGGTTTTTTTTAGGTATCTTGTATTTTCACAGTCTCATTCATTCACATATTTTATAGGTTCTAGTCCTGTAATATCTTTGAACTATGAAGATGTTACCAGACCATGGCACTCAAGCAAAAGAAGGAAGCAGTGTTGTCACTGTCTTATAGACAGGAAAAATGATGAAGAAAGAAACTAATTAATTTGCCTGTCGTACAGATAGAACTGAAACCTGAAATCAGCTTCATAATTCCTATGCTAATGATAAGCCGCTTGTCCTCTTCTGTGGGTAATTTAAGTTTAAATGGCTTAAGTAGTTGGCCTGAGTGACTCATTCACTGTCACAAGCACACACATCACTACTATGCTCACAGGACTAAAAATGATTCGATTTTCAGACAAAGGGCAAACAAGACAAAACCAGAGAAGATTAAAGTAAACTTTGTGAAGTGCTTTTTTTCCGTTTTGTTTTGTTTTGTTTTGTTTTTATCCTTGTAAGCATCAAGTATTATGAGTCTTTGTATAGGAATCCAACACTGTAACCAAACTTTTAGCAGTCTTCCTTTTTATACATGAGTAGTTACACAGATACCAGTGTAATCCAGCAAGAAAAAGAAACAAACACATAACAAGAAAGTAGCTCTATCTTTTGCTAAAGTAATCTTATTTTCATATTTGATTATTGCCAACCATTTATGTAAGGAGACATTCTACCTTGCTGCAATAGTTAGCAGTATAGTTATGCATACACTTCAAAGAATCTCAGAAAATAAGTTGCAAACTATCAGTGAGAAATAAATGCAAAAAGTGTGTGTATATTTGTGTATACCTCCAAAGCATGCTGCAGTGATTAACTAATACCTTCCATGTATGTGATGCATGAATTTTGAATACATTCTTGTATGGAGTTCTAAAAAGAAATGAACAAATGCCTATGCCTGTACTTTCACAACTGAATTAATTTCTAATATGTCTGTAGAATGTATTGTAGACTCCTGCCATTCCATTCAGCTGTATCTTAGGACAAATGCACAGAACCTGAAGGAAAGCCTGGATTACTTTTTGGCAGTTACTGTGCTCTCTACATGGGTACTGCTAGCAGGGAGGTTTAGGATTTGTAGGTTTGATTTCTGCAAGCAACTTTAAACAAGATCTCCTCAGGACTTAGTTCATCTCTGTCCATATTGAGAGATGTGGTCCTACTTTCCATTGATCAAAACAGCCTCTTAGTACTTTTTTGTTTCCTGCTAGTACAGAGAAACCAGTTCAAATGCGAGGAAATGTTCCAGATTTCTTCTGGCTCTTTGGGCACCTAAAGAATCCCTGTCCTGTTCCCAGTTGCTAGACCAAGTCCTATCCACATTCATACTCCACATAGCTTTTTTTACAGAGACCTTCTTCATGTGCTTGTGGTGACTTGAAAATGACTGAGCATTCAAAGAGCATGAAAACTGGTACTCAGATTTCTGTATAAATTAGATATTTTCACAGGAAAGAACTAAAAGTATTGTGAGATTCGGATAGTGTTTTTGTGGCTCTTTTTTTTGAGTTCAAGCTGAGCTTTTAGGATGGTTGGTCTATTCACTATATGTAAGCAAGTAAAGCATGCTTTTACTTGCAGCTGTTGTTGTTTAACTAGGAAATTATTTTGACCTTTTGGCTTTGACAGAGATTCCATGAAACATTCAATTTAGTAGTTTCTAAGAACAAGAAAGAAATAATGTAAAATTTTAACAGTGCTACAGTGAATTTCTTGGCAATGAGTTGCAATATATTGTTGACCTGCTAAAACTTTCCCTGCTGTTGGCTATAAAAAATAGATGTGCAAATGTTTATATGAATTACAGTTAGCGGTTAGCACAGACAATATAAATGGGCCATTTATACATGAAGATTCCAGAAAACTCTTCTTGTTCTTAGCCAAGACCCCACGCTGTCATTCCCACACCACCATGCTTCAGGCATAGATTTCTTCAATAATTGACTGTTGTAGACAATGTAGTCATTGTCTCTCTTTAAAATTACAAGGGATAAGTACATTATCTTTTTTACTCACCAGCTAAACTGTTTTTATGTATCTGTTAACATCAGAGGTGTCTAAACATAAAATAAAAAGCAATTTTATCTGCTTTCAATTGAATTTATATTACTTTTTCATCAGACACTGAGCTCGCAGATAATCTTGTATATAAAATACTTCTAGTGACTAAATTATATCAGCTACGAAATTATGATTGTCTGCATTAGAAAGATAATGAACAGACAGTAATATATATGATTTTTATCATTTATTTTGCACAAAGTATTTGCTACTTGCAAATATTTATGCAATTAAGTAAGTATGACATAGCTTAATAATCTAACCATAAATTGAATCCTATTTCTATATATTTCACTGCTAAATTTTCCACTGACTCTCTGGTTTTCAGCGTTTGTTTTTTCTTTATTTCATTTTCTCTCACTTTTCTCCACCTACTAAATACACTACTTACCTCCTTAATAACCTGAAGATGTAAACAGTGGATAAATAATATTGATTTTTTCTGTATTCCATTGTTGAAAACAGAATTCAGTTTTAATTCTTGGAAGTGTTTACCAAAGAATCCATGAAAATTGATCTGAGAAAAGTTTGCACCTATAATTACAGGTGTAACTTCAAATTCTGTAAATCATGCTCTGACAAACATAATCATGTTGATTGGTTCTTTACTCCATGAGCAATAATAAATCAAAGTCTGGTACAAAATGATAAGCTTGCTTCTGTTTTCTCCAGCATACAAATCAGAAATGAATATAAGGCAAGGATTTTTAGAAGTCTCCATACTGGTATAAAAAAATATCATGACATCTCATAGACACTGGAGATAAACAAACATAAATAACATTCTTTAATTCTTTTCTCCCCAAAATTATTTTAGGCAACCCATTATTAACCAGCAAAGTCAACGTTATAATAAACGTCCTGGATGTCAATGAGTTTCCTCCTGAAATTTCAGTTCCATATGAGACATCTGTATGTGAAAATGCCAAGCCAGGACAGGTATTTCAAATTACTGTTTCGCCTTTCCTTTTCTCATTGTTTATAACCATGAAAAATCATGGATTTCAGCAATTACATCATGTTTAGAATTATTTTGCAAATAAAATGCATTATAAGTATTCATCTTTTGGAATTCTGCTTTTTGACATTTATTTATGGTCCTTTTATTTTATGATCTCTGATTATATGGACCACAGTCACTTGGTACTCTGCAGGGAACAGAAAACAGGAGAAAGAAGCTCTTAATTTTAGACATTCAAATAGAGTTGCAAAATTACGGTCAAGGAAGTAAACACAACAGGCTGGATTACATAATTCTCTGTGTCCTATACACAGAAAAAGAACCCACAATGCCAAAGTCAGTCCTTCTGAAAGCTTGCTTTTATAAACAGTTTCAAATATATACACAACATGGAAAAACTTCTACAGATATAGAATGTTGTCCAAGACTTGTAACTTTGCCTGTTCAATTACGAGGTAACTATCAGCCATGGAAGGAATATATGCAGCCTGCTTTGTCATTAGTAAATTCTCTTTATATGTATGTAATACGTAATCAGCCTATGTGATGCTTTTATTATAGATATGTCTGTGACTTCATATAACATTCCTCTCTTTTTCACTTTTTTATTTCTTGCATGTTCCAGTTACTTCTCAGAAAACTTCAATTAGCTTCTTGTTTAATGGACAAAGCCATTAGTTTTTTCTCCTGACCCTAATAATAGAGAAGGTAATCTTTTACTGGGAAGGTGGAGATAGGCAGTAAACTGGCAATAATTATAAACATTTTGTTACATTTATAATTGCCAAAAATTTTTGGCATAAAAATCTAGATCAGTGGGAATCCTACTATGAAGTATCCAAACTGCATTGTCCTCATCTAAAATCTCGTAGATCCCCATCTACTCTGAGACCCAAAAGTTCATGTCCTAATACTCCATCATGCCTAGATGTTGCAGACCTTAAAAACCTCTCCACTTCATCTGAAGACGTAAAATCAGAGTGCAGTACTAGCATGTACTAGTCCTAGCAGTAATATTAGAAGTAACTGATAAAGTGAACTGTCTCTAATTAATTAACTTACTTGCAAACAATCACTAGCATTTTGATAAAAGGACAACTATTAGATGCTTCTTTTATTATTATAGGGGAAATTCTTCTGATTTTATTTCTATATGTGAAAACAAGACCTTCTGAGATATCACAAGATCTCTAGGGACTGTAGCATTCAGACTCCTTACCTCCACTGTCCAAACCATTAGAGGGATGAGAGTAATCCATAAGGATTGCCCTTCACTTGTTTCAATTTTCTCTTTAACAAAATTATGTGTTCTAGAAGTCTTTAGTGAACTGACTTCAAAATTAATCTTAATCTGGTTTCAGGTAATACAGACTGTCACTGCCACAGACAAAGATTTGTCACCAGCTGGGCAAAGGTTTTCCTTCAGACTGTCACCTGAGGCTTCCAACAAACCAAATTTCACAGTCCATGACTACAGAAGTAAGTTGCTTACCCATATACCTCTTTCAGAAAGCAGGCTGTGATTATAATGACAGTTATGATTGCTTTATATTCCAGGCATGCCCATAGAAATTTTATTTTATACATTTCTAATTGTTAATTATCTAGAACAGAAATTAATATAAATTCAGGTCTTACACCTCCTCCCATTTTCAGGGGCCAGGAATTGTCAGAACAACAAAGACTGGGAATTTCTTACAGGCTTGCAAAAACACTGCTACGTGTTTTATTACTTCCTTCAATCGTTCAGTTTATCAAGAAGAACTCATATATCAATACAGGTTTATCTTTAAACAAAGCACTAATACTGCCTTGTTTAAAAACTTCTACTTTTCATACTGATTTCAAAACATGCAGCTATCATTCTTTCTGAAGGACACATAGTCCTATAGGAGAATTAGTTCTAAATATGAACGGTATTGCTGCAATATAATATCCTACAATACTGAATAATTTGTGGATTTACATGATTAACTTCATTGATTTTTTTCCTTCACCTTTTTGTCACTACTTACAATACTACCTTTACTTTTCATTTGAAGCTTCCACTTAATGGCAAAAATCCAAACTCAGAACTTTTTTGTTACTTACTTTTCCCTACTTTTCCTTTTGATAGAGAAATCCTTTACTCCAGTTGACAGTCTATATTTTTATATAGAAATTAATAACCAGCATCAACTTTGCAATATTTGTTATGCTGTACTATGTTTCTTGATCATGTGGTACCTCCTCTGATCATATGACTGAAAATGCAACAACTGTAATTGTGGTAATGTGACTGATATGATGAGTAATGGTAAAAGCTATCAAACCTACTGCAAAGGCATAGCACCTAATCAGTTCCTTTATGAGATAAGGAGATATGATTATATATGTTTATGCTTGCAAAGATCATGGAGTAGATCCTTCCGGAAGCTATATTAAGGCACGTGTGAGAAGAGGAGGTGATCCAAGGCAGCTAGCATGGCTTCACCAACGGTAAATTGTGCCTGACTAATTTTATTGCCTTCTAAGACAGAGTGGAGGGTGGAGGCATCAATGGCCAAGGGATGGGCAAATTATATTTTCTACTTCTATTTGTTTAAGACTTTTGACAAGGTCCCACACTACATCCTTATCTCTAAATTGGAAATATGAATTTGGAGGGTGGACTAATCAGTGAATAAAGAACTCATGAGTGAATTCCATTAAGGTGCATCATAGATAGATAAAACCAACTTACAAGTGAGCAGAGAATTTCATTTAACAATTTGTAAATACAGTATGTAATGAAAACATAATAATTCATAAAATTGCAGATATGAATAATATTAACTTATTAAATAAAAAATGTGTACTTTTTAGCATTTTTTCAGAGGCCATTCGAGTACTTATTTTGAAACAGATTTCAGCAAATATAAAGGAGAGTCTTGTAAAGTAATGAAATCCCCTTCTATTCTTGGAAGATTAGATCATTATTCTTCTGAAGTACTTAGCCTAAACAGTTTGACTTCAACATCTATTACTCTCTAAAAATGCTATAGCATTTCAACTTCTAACTATAGTTATGCCAAGCAAGGTTTAAATGTTTTGCATCATTTGTCCCATTAGACCCAATGGTGAATATTGCTTCTTCTTAACAATGCACTACAGTTGCTATTTTCCATTCTCTGCTTAACTATCTGTAGTACTTCTTTGGATAACTCAGCACAATTCGCTATCTTCTGCTCTTTGTTTGGTTATAACAGAGCATCATTTTTTTTGCTACATCAAGTATACCTCTAGAAAACATAAATGTCATAATTTTTGAGTTTGAGATTGTGTTAGTATCAAGGAGGTACTTTGTGAGAGGAATTTTGGCTTTATTTGAGGAATTGATTCTGTTCATCACATTACACTTTTACAGGTAAATATGTATACTAACATTTTTAAACACACCGAGAAGTCTAATAAGCAGTGCTGATCTATTATGATAAAATCATGGGCGTTGTGAAATAACACTAGATGTAATGTGTTTGTAGTGCGTCTGAGGAGACCTGATAATGGGGGATATAAGACAGAAGGGTTAGACTCTTCAGCAGGATCTGATAGGACAAGGGGAAATGGTTTCAAACTAAAGTAGGGGAGATTTATATTGAATAAAAGGAAGAAAAAAAAAATTTAAGATGAGAGTAGTGAAGCACTGGAATGTGTTTCCCTTGGAGGTGGTGGCTACCTTGTCCCTAGAGACATTCAAGGTCAGACTTTGAGCACTATGATCTAGCTGTAGGTGTTCCTATTCATTGCAGGGGAGTTGGACTAGATGACCTTTAATGGTCCTTTGTCAAATTACATAATTCTATGATTCTAGAACAAATTTTTTCAGGCCTTGTACTCCCCAGAATATAATTTACTGTGAAGAGAGAAAGATAGTGTGCTAACTAAAGGCTCTATTAAAATAGACCGAAGATCCAGAAGCTGGTAAGATGAAGCTGGATTAATTTTTATGCAGTGCAGATGATGAAACAGAGAAAGAATAAGCTGAAGATGGAAGTTGGCTAGATTAGAACAATTTTGAAATACTTTGATTTTTCAAAGCTAATTGTCACTGAACTTGATATGCCTGTATGCCTGTTTGACAAAATAATGACATCTGAAATAAACATTCAGTCAGCCAAGCGCTCTCTGAATTGTAGCCATTCGTAATATACCTGATTTAGGCTTCTTTTCTTATTGTCCTTATTCAGAATTGCATAACTGTTGAATCCAGGGGCCTTATTTCTTCTACATACTGTAAATCTCCAAGAAGGGATAAAATTTATAACACAGACAGCAAATAATAACAAAGATACACTATAGTGTATGGATCAGATGGAAAAATCGTTACTGCTGCAGGCTACCTTCATTCAAATCTGACAGCTAATTGATTGCCTGTTAATTTTATTTCCTTTTTGTTTTCAATGTAATTCTTTTAATCTGCACATCATTTTCTTGCTGCTCTGTTTGATTCAAGAAAAGTTGTGATAACTGACTAGCTACTGGGAAGAAATTAGAAAATATAATTTCTAGGAGCTCTGAACTCATTTGTGACTAATTGATGGAAAATATACTGATTATAGTTCATTACAGTTCATTTCTTACTCTTAATATGGCAAGAAGTTTGAAAGGGTTTTGTATTTTGCCCAAGCATCTTACTTTCTTTTTTTCAAAAGAAATTGAATGATTTAATGGAGTCTTGATCTAAGTCCACCTGCAATTAGAGTCATTTGGAACACAGTCCTGGGCTGGAAACGGTATATTGTTTGGTTCTCTGCAAAAAGGAAATCCCTTAGCTACACCAATCAAAATACAATTCTTTTTGTAATGATAAGACAAGACAAATACATAAGAGCATGTCGTTCACCGAGTTTCAGAAATGAAACAGCTTCCAGTAGTAAAGTTGATACAAACATCAGGAGTAAATTATGTGCACAATAAAAATCCTATAATGTCTCTCATGTTTTACAGACAACACAGCTGGGATTGAAACCAGGAGAAATGGCTACAGCAGGAGGCAGCAAGAGCTGTATTTTCTTCCAGTGGTAATAGAAGATAGCAGTTACCCTGTCCAGAGCAGTACAAACACAATGACTATCCGGATTTGCAGATGTGATTCTGATGGTACTATCCTGTCCTGCAATGTGGAAGCAATCTTCTTGCCAGTAGGCCTCAGTACAGGAGCACTGATTGCAATCCTGTTGTGTATTGTTATACTTCTAGGTTAGTTCTCATTTAACCCTTTCAAATATGTTATTCTGACTCTCGTGTTAATTAATTTGTGTTCCCATTAGCTTAAACAAATGTTTTTAAAAAAACAAAATGTGTGGATGTTCTTGAACACTTGTGTACTTGTAACTTTCTAGAAAAGCATCCCAAAGTAATGACCAGAAATGTGAATCTGCTAATACCTATATGTTTCCTATTGCATGAAAAGATAAGCTTTCAGTGGAACTTGAGCTGCATTGTTTGTCTGAAACACTTTCGCTGAAATACTCTCCTTGAAAAACTTCAGTTTCTTAAAATTTCTAAAGTAAACAAGCCCTACTGACAGTAATAGCAGTAAAAACTTGGTAAAGGCCTTTGTTTAACTTTTAATACCAGCTTGAGAAAAAGAGTGATGAAATGAAAGAGGAGAAAGTTATTGTAATGCAGACTGCGACTGACTAGACCACTGTAGAACTTGACAGAAACGCATTAATTTCAGGCAGGCATGGATTCCATTACACTGCTTCATCATTTGGATCTATACAACAGTTAAATAACATATTGTTTATAGAATACCCAAGGCAGTCCATACCCATCTGCATCCTACATACAGTATATCTTTAATGAACTGGTAATTAATTAAATCCAACTTTGTAACCTACACAGGTTCATTGTGAGCAGCTTAGTACAAACTAATTCTTAGATATGCTAGACTATGCTATTTCTTGATGCTAGGGGTCTGCCTAAATTGTTGTGTAGATCTATTGGGCAAACAGCAAGAGGTGAGACACTGAATAAAATATATGCATACTTATTTGCATTTGAATGAATATAGTAATTCATAGCTTAAGCAAAGTACTACAGTCTTGGGGTTGCATTAGGAGTTTCTGAGTAGTAGTGGGTAAAATTTAGAATTTTTATTCTGTCTAAAATATTTTTGTTGTAAGAAATACATTTCAAATCAGAATGAGAATGGTAAATGTTCATACTTAAAAAGATTTTTAAAATATACTAAAAAAAAGCCTTACAACAGTTTACTGGGTAAACCCTGTAAACAGTCAAGAATGAGATTCAGCTTTCCAAAAAAATCTGTTGTGAATAATAGTTTCAGCTATTCAGTGTGAAGAGATCATAGAACCATAGAATGGCTTCAGTTGGAAGGGACCTTAAAGATCATCTAATTCCAACCCCCTTCCATGGTTGCTGACCACTAAATCAGGCACTATGTCAGGCTGCCCAGGGCCCCATCAAACCCAGCCTTGAATGTCTCCAAGGATGAGGTATCCACAGCTTCCCTGATCAGCCTGTTCCAACATACCTCACTCTCAGTGAAAAATTTTCCCTAACATTTAATCTAATTCTCTTGCTTTCTAGTTTATACCATTCCCCCTTGTCCTATCACTATCTGCCTGTGTAAAAAGTCCATTTTCCTTGTTCATAAGCTCCTTTCAAGTACTGGAAGGCTGCAATGAAATGTCACTGAAGCCTTCTTTTCTCTGGGCTGAAGAATCCCACCTCCCTCAGCCTCTCTTCATAGGAAAGGTTCTCCAGTTCTCTTTTTTATGGCCCTTCTCTGGACCTGCTTCAACAGTTCTGCATCTTTCTTATGTTGGGTGCCCCAGAACTGGCTGAAGTACTCCAGATGGTGCCTTACGACAGCAGAACCTCTCTCTCCCTGCTGGTCACCCCTCTTTTTTTTTTTTTTTTTTTTCCAAACTGCAAATGTACTCTGTTGGCATTTGTGAAGCATCCACCAGGACAAATGATGAATCAATTAGAACTCCATTTTAAGGCAGCATTCTCGGGTCATCTAGTCTCTCTAATACAGAGCAAAGTGCCTAGAACTTCTAAATACTACAATAGATGTAGTAAAATCTTTTCGACTGTCACCCTTGTGATTAGTTTGTGTGATGTGAACTATGAACCTGAACTAGAGAACCTGACAGTTCTAATCCATTGATTATTTAAGCTACCCAAGTTTCTGAGTAAATACAAATATTTGAAGTCTGATTTTCCCCCTAAATTAGCTAGGTAATGATGTGGGCCTTCAAGAAAACTGCGTTTATGTTTCTCTAATGGTCAAATACAATTATGTGAAAGAACTCATCAACTCTGGCTCTGATGGATGCTCTCAATCTGTATGACACTAATGAAAATATTTTTATTCCTGCTTTCCAGACTAAATTACTGAGATTATGTTAGGAAAAGAGGCTTTGGTTTTTAATAGCTTGCTTCATTCCAATCAATCCAGTAATACTACCTAGAAAAACTAATGTATAAATAATGAGAACACCAGTGATGTGCATGACATAAAAGAATGGAATTTATATCTTTTTTTTTCTGTAATAATGGCAAATTGATAAATCTTAAAGTTTCTTCAGGATTTTCATTATTGCAACCTTTAAAACTGTACTTGAAGTGATTCTTACTGAGCTCACTTCCACATAAGAAACAGTCAATATATTAACATCAGGAGTTATTTTATGCTATGCACACTGGACCATGAACTTACAATCATTGCAACTCTGTTCTTTATTATATTACTTCAAAAATAGCGCTTAGAACTCTATGATTTTTAACAAAGGCAGTTAGAAAATTAAAAAAATAAAAATAAAAATTACCAGTGTACTACTACTAGGTTTCTCATTGCCCAAACTATTGGCAATAAAACCACACCACAAAACAATTTCCTTTGAGTACAAAATCACAGATGGAATGCTCTTCTGGAGATTAACTAGCCCAGCATCCTTTTAGAGAATGGCTGCATTCAGCTGAGGCTTGACTGTAACTCAGGATAGATGCAACACTACTTCTCTGAGAAACATGATCCAGTGCTTAACCATTATGACAGGAAAAAACTCATATTTTAATGGAATTTCCTGTATTTCAGCTTTTGCCCATTGTCCATTGTCCTGTCACTAAGCTGAGAAGGCTCAAACTCCCTCTTCTTTACTGCTTTGTCAGGTATTTAAGCACACTGATCAAAGATCTCCCTGAGCCTTCTCTTCTACAGGCTGAATGTTTTCAGATTTCAGCTTGTTCTTCTATGTCAGATGCTCCAACCACTTAGACATCTTTGTGACTCTTTGAAGGTTTTGCTACAGAAAGCCCATGTCTGTCTTTCACTGAGGAGCTGAAGCATGGACTCAGCACTACAGATATGACCTCAGCAGTGCTGAGCAGAGGGGAAGAATCGTCTCCCTTGACTTGCTAGAAACATTTTTCCTAATACAGCCCAAACTGCTGTTGGCCTTCTTTGCCTCAAAGGCACATTGTTGACTCATAGTGAACTTGCTACCCATCACCATCTGTCAGGATCAGATGTGAGACTCACTGGCTTGTAGTACTCTCAGTCATTCTTCTTGCCCCTTTTTAAGATAATGACGACAATTTTTTCAGTCCTCAGAAACTTCTCATAGTACAACATTTCAAATTTAATCTCCAATGGCCTTGTGATGTCAGTCATCTCCCTCACTACAGTTTACATCCTGTCAAGGTTACTGTCCATGTATGGGACATTAAGGTTAAGTTTTCCTTAACCTTTTCCTCTTCTATCAGAATAAATTTTTCTGGCTCCAAATTTTCCCTCTGGTTTCAGGGATCTCTGTCTTATGAATAAAGACAGAGGCAAAGAAACCATTCAGCACCTTTGCTTCTCCTGCCTTTGCTTGATTTCCTGCTCATTAAGATGAAACACCGTTGTGCTTGGAAGAGGTGATAGCTGAAAACCAACCAGATCTACAGGACTCCTTTTCCTTCCAGAAACATATCACATATCACAGGTCATTCTTCAAAATTCAGAGAGGCAAAAAAATGTACTCTATAAATAACTGAACTTGGACTTTTTTTTGTCCATCTCAGAAATTCCTATTTATTTATTTTTCTCTTCAACAATGCTTTGTTGTGGTTGTTGCTGTTTTGGTTTTCTATTCATTTTGTTTTCTCGACAGGGTAAGCTGAGGTTTGCAGGGGTAAGTTTAGGTTGGATGTCAGAAAAAATTCTTTAGGGAAAGGGTAGTTAAGCACTGGAATAGGCTCACCAGGGAGATGGTTGAGTCATCATTCCTGAATGTGCTTAGAAAACATTTGGATGTGGTGGACGTATTTAGCAGAGGTTGCTAGAGTTAGGGTAGTATGGTTAGACTTGATGATCTTTTTAAGGTCTTTTCCAACCTGAGCAATTCTATTATTCTGTGATTCTATGATTCTATAATGTCAAAAATTGGGAATTTTTCTCTATTAAGCTATGGAACACATTTAAAAAAGAATCCCATCTCTCTGTATCTGAACTGAAAGTCCTATCCACCCCTACTTTTTACATAAAGCAAGACAGTTTGTTACTTCCTTCACAGCAAGCACTAAAGAAAGTTAGATTCATACATCAAACAGCAAATGACTTTTTATTGGATAGAGTACTGCTGTTTTTATGATAATAGCAGGAGTCTATCTTCTAAGGAAAAAAAAAATCCTTTTGATTGCTTGCAGCTTTCAAAGGAAGTATAATGATATATCATCAGAGTACCAAATTATTTCTATGCACGTCTTAACTTCAGTTTTCTGTCATTACAGTCATTGTAGTACTATATGTAGCACTACGGAGGCAGAAGAAAAAGGACACCCTGATGACCTCTAAAGAAGACATCAGAGATAATGTTATCCATTATGATGATGAAGGAGGTGGAGAGGAGGACACCCAAGCTTTCGACATTGGTGCTCTGAGGAATCCCAAAGTGATTGAAGAGAACAAAATGCGCAGGGACATAAAACCAGACACCTTGCGTTTTCCACGTCAGAGACCACCAGTGGAAGACAACACAGACATAAGAGATTTCATTAATCAAAGGCTGCAGGAAAATGATGTTGATCCAACTGCACCCCCTTATGACTCCTTGGCAACCTATGCTTATGAAGGAAATGGGTCTGTTGCAGAGTCCCTCAGCTCTATAGAATCCCTTACTACGGAGGCAGACCAGGATTACGACTATCTGAGTGACTGGGGACCTCGTTTTAAGATCTTGGCAGACATGTTTGGAGAAGAAGAAAGTTATAACCCTGATAAAGTCACTTAAGAACAAATACATCAGTGAAATAAAAAGAAAAGCAAACCAACAACAAATAAAAAAGATAAACCTAAGCTTTATAATAGGACAGGATTCCTTTGATTATAAAAGACAGCAATTGTTTCCAGCAAGTTACTACGTTTATCATACTGTCAGTTTTTGTTTGATCTGCAAAGAAGAGATAAATCCTGTAATATACACAGTTTTTTGTTGTTCTTATTTTGTTACTCTGGAATTACACTGAGACAAGCTCAGGCCTACAAGGTACAGTTTACTGATTGACTTAGAAAGAAGAAACCTTTCTGGCATCATGGTGGAAGTGTGGTAGCTTTTTCGTAATTCCACTAAAGTGCCTATTGAAACTTTTATCATTTAAGTGGTAAAGAGTCTGCTATGATGGTGTTACAAAACTGAATGAGAATTGGACATGAACTTTAAGACAAGAAGCAATAGCAACATGCTGACTTCTTATTGAACAAAAATGGAGATAACTTCCCGGAGTATATCTAATGATTAAAACTAAGAGGGATGTACATTGTGTTCAGGCATTATATTTGTGGGTTTTTTTAAAGAAGAAAACACTATGTCAAGGCATTATATTTCTTCTTTTCACTGAAAATTGAAATTTAAAATGCTATTGCTGACTGAAGATGTAAAGCCAAAATTAAAAAGATTTTAGCGTACATCAATGAATATTTAAAAGTTCGTGAAAATATTTCATTTTTTTCCAGAATAATAAAAGATGAAAGCAACTACTCCTTTACATGAAGGAAATTTCCCTTTTTTAAAATGTGACTATTATTAGAAAATTAAATAGATTTTTTTTTTTTTAATTTCTGTTTGTTTCTTTGTTTGTTTAGGAATATTGTTGTATTTTTAGTACCACGTCATTTTTTTTCCCTTGTAATTATCACTGAACTAGTACATGTAAAGAACTCCACATCCATTTTCTTTGCAACTAGTTTGTTCGTCTTTGGATACTGTAGAAATACATACTACAGAGATAATTATTTTTTCAACCAATCACCTGCTACAGTTCACCATTATATTTTAGTGTCAGACCCTTATTAAAAATTGAAATTCTTATTATGTGATTTTGTTCTTCGTAAAATCATAGAGTGGTTTGAGTTGTAAGGGACCTTAAAATCACCTAGCTTCACCCTGTCTGACATTGGCAGGGACCCCTTCCACTGCAGACTGCTACAAAGACCAATCCAATCTGCTCTTGAACACTTCTATGAATCGGACATTCATGACTTCTCTGGGCAAGTTTTTGGTGCCTCACCATCCTCATATTAATAATTTCTTCCTAATATGTACTCTATTTTTTTTTGTTCAAAATCATGACACATTGTCCTAATGATATCTATTCCTTGACAAAATATTAACAGACAGAACAAAAACATTAGACAGTATAATTCTCCAATTTTTATGTTCATACTCATTTATAAACATAGCTGTGCAAATAACAGAATTGCATATATTTGCAAGGCGCTGTGCCTTGGAAGAGCACTTGTAAACTATTTCATTTAATTTTTTTTTCTGAGGATTTAAGAAGTATACATTTTCTAAGACAATGGTTTATAGCCCCTGAAGTGTATGTATCCCTATATTCTCCTTCTAAAATCTCTGCCATGCTATACAATATGCTCAAGCTCTACTCATGATTACTGGCAGCGGCAAGGTGAACCTAAGTCTTTCAGGTCTACAAATTAGTTTTTGTGCCACTGAAGAATTAATAGCTACCAGATACACTTAGATCACATATCTGATTAACATACCCAAAGTACCCTCTACTCTTGTTGAAATGAAAAGGTATTACAAAGTTGTATAAATCACTCTTCCAATAGGACTTTAAAATTCATGTTGCTTACATAAATTTAGAGTTATATGGCAAAATTGGACAGGGTTGCATTAAAATCACTGTCAGTGTAGATTATACCAGCAGAGAGCAGAGGTGTAACGCAGGACACATTAATAGAAAATGTTTTGTATTGGTGGGCTTGTGTTTTTCTTTTTCATTATTAGTCAAGGTAGTTTATGTTCCTTGGATGACAAACTAAGGTAACAAAATATCTCACCAAATATTAGGGAAGCAGATGGATTAGCAAGGCCCATTTACTACCATAACAATTTTAGTTTTGAAGCTGCTGTTTTTAATTTTTGTGCATGATAGCATAGCAAGATCAACCACTGCAGAGTAGACCTCAAGCAGAACTCTCAAAAAAATGTTTACAAATGTGTAATCTTAAGATCAATTTCTGCTCTTTGTTACTGTATTAGTCCTTTACAAGTATTATGCAAGTAAAATCAATGAAAGTAATACTGAGTGAACAGGAAAGCTCTCAAAGAGCTCAGAGCATTTGCTGTGAGCAGGACAGTCTGTACGGGAACCTAACATCTAAAATGTAATTTAATCATGCTATTACACAAAATTCAGATACAACAGTAGTTGCTTTATGCTGAATTACTGACAAATTGAATATCAAATACGTATTTTTGACATTCAAGAGCTTTGTAATTGAGATGTTTCAATCACATAATTAATAAGCCTCCAGGAAGATTAAAAAAAAAAGGGTTATATAATTACAGATGCAGTTATGCTATAAAATCTTAATTAAAATATAAGACTTTTTTCAAAGGATGATCAAACAATTTTAAATTAAAGAAGGTATTTTTTTTTGTAAACAGATCTATGAAACTAAGAAAAATCTTCACTTTATATTCACACATCATCTGGGACCCAATGGATTTGTGTTTTATTCCATGTTCTATCACTCTCTTTCTAAAAGATGCATGCCAGATTTTAAGACTTTGTTTTTTAAAAGGTAATTAAACAGATATGAAGTTTATAAGATTTAAATAAGATATCTGAGATGACATGAAGTCAGTGGGGCTAAGAACCCCAGTGCATTTGTGAATTGTACTAGGTATGCACTTTTGTTTTCAAGCACTGTAGCTTTGAAAAATCCCTAGAAAGACTTGTATAATCCGTATCTCACAGTTGTCTTTCTCTGGACTATGGAAAGAACCATAAAATCTCATGTTGTATGAGTAGTGACAGGAAATTGTTTACAAAAAAGTTTAAAAGGCACTGAAGTGGTAGACTCAAGAAAAATGCTTTTCATTCTAATTTCCAAACATCAGATACTGGTGCACAGACATTTGGCATCATCTTAAATGTCTGAACAGTGCCCCCCTCAAAACACAAAACATTCTGTAAAATGCCTTCAAGGAATCTAGTTTGTAAGATTACATTGTGGACATACAGAACTGAAGACAAATTTATAACAATACTTTGAAAGAAATCTTATGTAGGAAAAAAACTTTTGTGTCCTTAAAACATAAGGAGTTAGAATAGTTCAGACCATTTCATTGAACATAAAAGATTATTAATACATGGATTTAAGTGTGCTACCTCACAAATCTGAAAATACTGTTATTCTTGAAATGCAGATTTACAATATTGTGAGATAACAAAGATTTGGAAAGCAATGACAGTAGACAATGTCTGTGGCACAAAGGTCTGTTTGAATATTTTATACTTCCAAAATTTTTACTTATACAAATTTTATAAGTTTGCTCTGAATTTTGCTGTTTGAAAATAAAATTAGTTGATGAGGATTTACTCTGAGTTATGAAAGCAAAGTTCATTGAAAGCAAAGAACAACAAATGATTCAAAATATTATGGATAATATTATTCTAGACAATACTCTGCAAATGTTTTTGCCTTAACAATAAGATGTCAATTTCCAGATAAACACAACTGATCTTTCACAGAATTAAAAAGTATCATTTAGCCAATGCACTACTTAAATTTCTCTCCACTACCATTTTGAAAGAGTTCTTATGACTGTGTTGTATTAAGTAACAGAATGCTATTAAGTGAATACAGAAAGAAAATACAATAATATTTTGGTTTGCTGGCATTTCATATGACGTTAGTGACTGTTTTATTTGCTGAGATTTGAGCTTGTAAGTTATTTACTATTGTCATTTTTTTTTTAAATCATTATTAACATTCCAATCCGATGTGTATAGAAATATTTTTGAGCTTTACTAAACTTCGTAAAACAAATAATGAAATAAGCCCTAAAACAACCTTATAGAAGTGACATTAACTGTAAATGAAAATCAAACTTTATATTAAATCCTTCCAAACCTTCTCCTAATGGGAAATCTATAACAATCTGATTCCTTTTCTCTTCTCATTTAAATCAAGACAGAACAGGAGAAACATTTGCTAGTTTCAGCAAAATTAAGATAAGCTGTTGGTTGTTGATGATTGTTGTTTGTTTGTTTGTTGATATTCTGTTTGCTTCAATTATAAACCTCCTCTGCAAAACTGCAATGCTAAACACTTTTGGAAAAAAAAAAAAAAAAATTGTGGAGTTTACAAAAATCTATGTGCAAAAGAGTACATGATTATTAAGCCAAAACTGGAAAATGTAGCCAGCATGCTCCACAGGAAATGTTAGAATGAAATCAAGGCACTCTGCATACTGCCTTTGTCCATGCTAATGCTGAGACATTCATAGGCATGTTTTCACTGAAAACATGTATATATTAATTATATTAATTATTAGTTGTAATATTTTATTGAAAAAATGATACAAAATTATGTCAGTCTATTTGAGCAACTCTAGACACAGGAACAGGAACTACACTTTCAACAAGAGATATGTTTTTAAAAAAACACATGGATTTCCTCAAGCATGGATGTAAAGCTTCTAAATTTAAATATGACAGACAGGACAAACAAATGTGAAGAAAAGACACCAAAACAAATGTGGTATAGAATCAGAAAAATCGTCTCTTTTTTTTAAAGCATCAGTCAACGTATTTTGAATGAATTTCCATGAAAAATAGAAAAAACTAACAAAAAATTAAAGAATTTAATTAGTCAGTAAAATCCTATTTTCTAAACATATATTTCTTTCATAAAACCTACATTTTCTAAATTTTGGAATCAGGCTAGTACATTCAGGAAAATAGAGGAAATAATTTAGTCGTCTGGATTTGGTGGCATCTAATTTCACTTATATTTGTATAGTTTGTTGATTTTTTCCCCCCAGTCATCTTACAGTCATTTTTGTTATAGAAGAGTAGGACTGAAAACAAGAAAAAACACAATGCATTCAATCATGTTTTATAACATTTTCATTCTAGACTGTTAAGTTTTAAAATCAAATGTTGAGTATTTTTAACAAATATTGAAAACTGATTTCAAAGCATCTCAAGGAATCCAAAGAAACCATTTCATCATTACTTTGTTTCTAATATAAAGACTCAGAAGAAGATTACTTGGTTTGATAAGATGGTGCAAAAACATTTTATGGTAGAGATAGCCTCTGTCCAAAGTATAATTATGTTGTCCTGTGAACATGTGCTGAAAGAATAAGAAGGAATTTAGCAAGACTTCTTGCTGATTTAAAGCCTTGGTTAACACCACAAAGCAGTCTTTCACCACCTACTTTTTCACTAGCCAGGAGTAATACCTCTTATGTCTAACAATACATATGTGGCTGAGCCAGCATAACTGGCTGGAAAATGTTATACAACTAAGAAACTATGCAAACAGGTTGGGATACAAACACAGATCCCAAACTAAGTTATAGCTAGATTTAGGTCCTCTTCAGGAACTATGGTTCAGTTTATTTTGCATGCTCCTATCTGAAATAATCTCCATTTTTACAGAAAATCTGACAGTGGATACTTCAGATACCAAAGCTTTTGATCTATGGTCACTGTTATATCATTATTTATATTGGAAATGCCCACTAGTATCCTGAATTAGTATTATATGCTGTTCCGAAATGTAAGTGAGAGTACTTGTGCTCATTACTCCTGATCACTTAAGGGAACTTTCCTAGATGTAGGCTGCAGCAATTAATTTCTTGTCTGACCACTCAACCACTAGTTTACACTTTTGTGAAACATTTATTGAAGCACTCAAAATAGATCTGCTATCATTACAAACCTTGTTGCACTTGGCTTGGTGTTTTATTTTTTTCCTCTTGCATCTTCCTTTGATTAAATTATCCTTATATCAACCTGTGAGTCTTTTTTAACACCATATTTTCTCCTTTCCCACCTCCCTTGGGGAGGTGGAGGAAGAGAACAGTGGTGGTGGAGTTTAGTTGGGCATTGGCATGAAAGCGTCACAATGTTGAAGACAAATCATGATGTCAAATATGGCTGGATGAGAAATCCAACTAGCAATGTGGTGCCAGACCTTAGTACTGATATTACTGATACTACTAACCTTATCAGTATCAGCAGCATCTCGAGAGGACATGGATTAGCACACAGATGCCTCAGATTGGCCTACAGGAAAAAAAAAAAAAAAAAAAAAAAAAGGTGCTGGAGAGAAATTACTGTCTGGTAAACTGCTGAAGATGGAGAAGTACAAGCTGCAGCGTTGCAGCATGCAACTGAGACCTGGCAAGAAATTGCAATATCAGGACAGATTTCTACAGTTACAACCACCCTAAACAGCTCAGCAAGGATCTGCAGCAACTGAATGAATTCAAGTAATTTCATTTTTCCTAACATAATCCCACAGGTGAAAAGATGATGCCCATTTGTCCTTCTAGCTGCTATCTGTATGGAAAAATCTTCCTAGCAAGAATCTTCAGAGAAGACAAGCCAGATAGAAATAATACAGATACTTTTAATTTGCTCCAGTACTGCCAGGTTAATGACTTACTTGAAAAAAAAAAAAAAAAAGTTTATATTTTCACTTGAACACACAACTGCAGAATATAAGTTTCTGCTACAAAGATTTAGTTCCCTGAGCAAACAAGGAGAACTCGTTCCCTCCAGAGAACTCATACTCTCCAAAAGAAGAATTAGTAGAAGGAAAATAAAAATAAACAAAACAAAACAAAACAAAACAAAACAAAAAAAAAGGAACCAAAACAAAAAACAACACTGCTATTTCTGAAGGACTGACAATTCTGATTATGGGCTTTGGGAGTTAATAGGTATGACAAAGGGACTGTGGAAGGAAGGAAGAGACATACCATTCATCTCTATACGCTCTGTTGGAATATTGGCATTATAGTCACTTTACAGTTTATATTAGCACTGATATGAAAAATATCATGTGTATCACAATAACAGCAGAGGACAAAAAACTATAATAATATTATTAAAAAAATATAAAAATTATAATAATATTACACTTAAAAATTAATGATCATTTTCTTCTTTTACATGACTTATAATCACATTTAATTCCCAGAAGAGCTCAGCTTCTGCTACTACAAATATTTCATAATTCATGTAATGTTCTTATTGGTCATCAGTGTAGTTGCAGAAAACAGCATTGTCCTAGTTGATGAGTATGAAGTGAAGAAGCATGAAACATGGGAATTTCACCAGCTTTCTAACAAAGCCTGCGTAACACCACTGGCCTATCAATATGCACAGCTGCCAGGTTTTAGAATGTTCATTTGCAACAAAATCTTTCTGTTTTAGAGGAATCTAATTTCTAATTTTGATGTAAATTTTGACTCATCTATTGTGTTTAGTTGTGATATTGTATGTTAAAGAGGTCTGCAGGCCATTCATGCTTATTTCTCTAAATTTTATTCAAGTTTTTTCACATTTATCCTCTAAAAGGTATAAATACTAGAAGTAAAAAATAGAAACTTGAAATACATGCTCTTTCAATTGAAGATACATTTATTCTGGAAAGGCATTAGATTCTCTCGGGTCAATTTACATAGATTTTCTATTTGTAGAACTTACTGAGAATTGAGACAATAAAAACTACAGTGTCTGGATGTTTGTAGTCAATACAACAGAAAAAAACCCACACGTGAATGTGAACAGTATGTGAAGAAATAATACTAAGCAGCAGTGCAATTTTACATGCTCTCCATCTTAGATTCAAAGGAGAATTTTTTTATATATAACGTGCTTCAGTTCCCATCAGCCATACTGAGAAGAAAGCAAGAATATAAAATATCTACTAATCGGTTTGGGGATCACAAGTTAATGTTGTAAATGTCTTTTGAAAACCAATTAATCATCCTCATAGTGAGAGACTGTTCATAATCCATATATGGCACTTCTAAAATATATATAGGAAAGGAAAAATGGAAGAAAAGAAGGGAAAGAAAGAGTGGAAGAAACAAAAAGTGGAAAAATAACAAACCCTATCTGACGTATTTAGTAGTGACAATGGCTTATGTAGCACTCTTAGAACTCCGGTCTTTGCTGTTCTGGTAGATTAAGGAGTCCACTCAAGCAACTAGGAAAGAGGTCTTGGTTTGTTGAAGCAGTGGATCAGTATACTTTTGTTACAATACATTCAAATTTGCAGTATCTAGTGGGGTTTCAGTTTAACAGGTACTCCTTAATAAGTAATTAATAGCAGGTATTAGAGATTTCTATCTGACTTAATAATTGTTTCAGTTTTATTAAGATAAATATTTGTTTGACATAATATGCATGCCTGCTTATTTCACAAAAATAATGTTATATGTGGCAAATTAACCTTAAAGTAGTAATTTAACTTCTATGACTAAAATTTACTAAAATATTAACAAATAAGATCCCAAAATGGTGATTTAACTTAACCATTTTTTAAAAACTTGCTAATAGGTTACAGACACAAAGACTGAAATTTGTTGTTACCTTCTTTTCAATAATGGAATTCCCTTGAACTCTAGAAGAGTCAATATTTTATTTTAAATCAGACTAAAATTGAATAAGAATTAATACTACCAGTGCTGTATTTACTCTGCTCATGGCTGAGCAGTACAATTTCTTAACCTGTTCAGTTTGTAGCCCACTCATATTTCATATTAAGTACTTGCTACGCTGTCTGCCAGAATTCACTGACTCACACCAACTGTTCCTTCCATTCCTCTGAACAAAGTAAAGATTTTCCAGCAGTATTTTTTGCTGTAGCCAGTTATATCTTACTTGTCTTGAGCTTTTCAAATGCTGTTATGCAAGAGGATTATTGTTCAGAAAATACAGATAAATTCAGAAAATACACATATGTTTTAAAAAGCATGGTATCACGCTTTATGGAGTTTTTCTAGATGTATAATCTATAGTCCTACACTAGCCTCATGGACAATGGTGCTTTTTGTAATGAAGTCACTTGAGTTTTCTCAAAACTCAACAGAAACAACAATGTAACAGCTTAGCAATTTTGTATCAGCTAAAGAGCCATCAACAGGCTCTGAAATCTTTTCAAAATTATCAGACTGGAAAGAGAGGCTTGAATCCCACCAAAGCAGCACTGTATGATGCATATTAACTCTGCAGAGGGCTCTGTGCACTTCACAAACATACCTACATTAATAGCAAGTACCTGACAATAGCTCTTCACAATTCCTCTATATTTAGTATAACGTTTCTCCTTCTAAGCGATCATGACTTTATTAAGACCAATGGACTGAATTCAACTATGACAAAAACTGCTGATTATTCCAAGTCAGTAATAGTTATGACTGCTCATTTATGAGCTGAATTGTCAGGAAAAGAGAAATTTTGTAGTGATGGTAAAAGGAGAATCCCCTATACCACTACAGAAGGCACTGCAGAAGTACTGCAAGCCTTCTGCACACCAGGCACACATCAACTTACAGAATTGTGGAGTTTCATAACTTGTCTTTATTTCTGACTGGTAGGGGTAACAATTAATGCTCACAGTAGGACAGTTTGAGAATATTATATTCCGAGTAGAAGGATTGTTACAGGGTTATGTGAGAAATCCAAAGGGAAACACTAATTTTGGAAAAGGGCAAAATATTTTACTGTATAAGAAAGGGAAAAAAGGAAAAAAGGAACAGAGTACTTTCTAGAGAGATCCTCTATTCAAGAAATCCAAGACAGCCCTCACCTCACCCACACTTTTATTCTATTACAGTTTCATCAAATATACTTTGTAAAGATTAAATGAATAAACGTGAATACATTTAAAGTGTTCTTAAATCATTGTTTTTGACATACTCAAATAATGAAATGTATTGAGTTCTGTGAAATGGATATGGATACCATTAATTGTATATAGACTTTGGATTTTGAACTGATTTAGTACAGCTGGCTGGCAAATTAAGGGGGAAAAAAAAGGCCTTTCTCTTATTGGTAAATGATTATACTGCAGATACTGCCAAAGAAGAGGAAAAATTCTTTTTGCCTTTAATTTAAGGGTAGTTTTGTAAACCCATTCATTTCTAAAGATATTTTGTGCCTAAATTTTGGCAATGATTATATTATGGATGGAAATTGAATTTACCTGTGGTCTTCCAAAGATCCTTAGTACTGTCCTTTAATTTCAATATTTAAAAGTTCTGGTGATAGCTGATTTAGCTTCTTTTTTAATAATTCAGAATACATTCCTGTCCCGAATTTCCCTGTTCTCAATTACTGTTCTGTATGATTTTTTTAAATCAATCTAATTCTTATTCATATTATGTAACTCTCAAGTAAGAAAAAGGCTTACTTAGTTCCATTCCTGTCTCTTCAAATGTTGTTCTTCTAGCTCTATACTAACCTCTAGGAATATAGGAAAATAAACAACTACAAAAACACCTACATTGAACACAAACACTGTGCTATGAGGCACAACTTATTTCCATAAGACTTCACAGATGTAAATGTGCTAGATCCACATTTGCTAAGTTCAGCTACACGGTCTAGAGGTTACTTACTGCATAACACATTTTATATTCCAGATATTCAAACAAGATTAATTCTCTGGAACATTCAGTTTGATTCACAAAAGTTTGATTTACATGCTTTCTAAAAGAAACTCAACTTACCAAGAAGGTTTTTTGTTTTGTTTTGTTTTTTCTTATCTCCATTTTTAAGCTGCTTTGTCTTATGTAGATTCTAGTACCAGATATCTATAGTCTGCTGTGACAAAGACAGAGATGGCTGTTGCTGGTCCCAGCATTTTTTAGTAATTTTTTAGTAATTGTATACAGTGATCTTTAAGAATGGAGAAGAAAACTTTTGCAAAGCTTTCATTTTGGGTTGATTTTGTTCAGTGCTTTCACACACACTTTTGTGGCAAATCTACAACTGAAAATCATACTTTTAAAGGCAGGAATTTGTCCATACTGACCTGAATCCTGTTAGCAATAACCGACAAATAACCAGATCAAAACGCACTTTCTTAAACTCACAAAACTTTACTGCTTTACATTTATCCTAGTGATAATATGTTGGGCTATGAAGAAATGTGTGCTACTACATTTTAG